CAAGTGACCGCTCGTTGCCAAGGAGGCAATAATGCTGGCCACACAGTTGTGGCCAATGGCAAAAAGTACGATTTCCACATCTTACCGAGTGGCATGATTAGCGAAAAAGTAAGAAAAGTGTAGTCATAGGAGTAGCTAGTAGCTAGATAAAGTTTACTTTAGTGCTTCAACATCATAGGAAATGGTGTTGTGGTGAACTTGGATGCTTTTTTCTCCGAACTTGATCACAATGGAGTGAATAAAGAACCTGGTTGGGAGAAAAGGTAATTATCATAGTGGTGGTAGAAAATTGTTGTTGTATATTGTCATGTTTTTCATCCTTTGTTTGGGGAAAATATTAGCCTTTTTAGGATCATGATCTCTGCCGAGGCTCATCTAGTTTTTGGTGTGCACGCTCAAGTTGACGGACGTCAAGAAGATAGCCTTGCCACACATCAGTAAGCGATCTTCCTTTGATATATTTTTTTCTGAATCTTGCCTTGAGAAAACAGAAATTTTCACGCACTATCTTTTCGAGGTCTACAACCTGTTTTATGAGTTCTATCTTAAAAAAAGCTCAATAGGTAAACTGGTTCTCGTCGATCGTGCCCATGCTTTTTTTCCTGTACGAGGATGTTTCCATATATCTCAGAAACTTCGATAAATTTTTACTGCTTTAGGATTTTGGAAACAGGGTTCTCTTTTTCTAGAAAAATTGGCACCACTAACCGTGGCATTGGCCCCACATATTCTTCAAAATGCTTCCGAAATGGCATACGTGTCGCTGATCTCATGGGTGATTTCGAGAGCTTTTCTGAGAGGTGATTGATGTAACGCTTTTTACAATTTTTATACTAATGAAAATATGCTTTCAGGTATCTTCGACTCGTTGAACATTATAAGAAGCAGTTTCCAAGTATAGACATTGATACGAAGGCGGAGCTTGCCCGATTCAAGGTTTTAATTGCGTTTGTTCATTTTTTATAATTTTTCCTCAATTTTTTTTTCGTTTAGGAACATCGCGAAAAACTCATTGAGCTAAATTTGGTGGGCGACAGCGTTAGCCGCCTCCATGAGTTGAGAAAACAAGGACGCTCAGTTTTGGTGGAAGGAGCAAATGGTGCCCTTCTAGACATTGATTTTGGCACCTATCCGTATGTAACCTCGTCAAATGCCACTGTGGGCGGAGCTTGCACTGGTCTTGGTATCCCACCCACTGCTAT